TATATATATATATATATATATATATATATATATATATATATATATACACACACAGATTAAACGATTGCATATTATTCACATAATGGCAGTAATCATGTCTTTTTCACACCCCAATTTTTATTTCTTTATAAATTTTTCCTTTATTAATGAACTTACCACTTATATAGGCTAGATTTGGACAGTCATCCAGTTTTTGTGTAATTGCACATGCCATCACCTAGTTAGGTGGCTATGATTGCTCGGAGAATTGACAGATTTTTAGTTAGTATTTGAATTGAAAATCGGGGAGTCATTTAACCTTGCATTACTATGTTTTTAAAATGCAAAAACTCATGTCATTTATAGCGTAATCCACTCAAGCATGCCAAACTGCCTGCTATCAGTTTTATGGGTACATCTAAGAAAATTTGGATAAAAATCTGTTGCAATTTAAGACTTTATAATGGCTTATATGTGACTTCACAATCAGAAAACCACTGATATTACACAAGGAGTGTCACTGTACCACTATTTTAGGTCTATATGGTATAGATGCTTTCATGAGTTTTAATGTTCGTACTATAGTGTGACGGATTAACAGTAATAAAACAAAACACACTGAATAAAGACAACAAAATGTTTTATTTATAAATTCACAGTTTCTAATGGCACTACACTGCTGTAGTTACAACTGGAAAAAGAAAAGAAAATCAAATACTGTGCAGTTCGTCCTCACAGATTATGAGAATTCATTTGGTCGCCACCTAGCGGACGTTTAAATAAATCAGACATCAGCCACTAGAGGGCGCAGTTCTAAAGGAAGCCTGGGGCGAAAAAGCACTTGTACAAGTTGTGGTGGAGAAAAACAAAGGCATGTGTGGAAGTTCTCAGGAGAGACAGAAGCAGCGGTCTCTACTCACTGGGGTACTGGAAAGAGTCTTCAACACACACACTGCATGAAAAAAACATCCAGACATAAACACATTCCACAAGCATATATCAATTTCCATTCAAAAATAAGGAGAAAGGTAGTAAAACGTTTTAAAGTGAAACATATATCATGGAAATCACAGAGATGGTCCATCGCACGCCATCCCAATCTTTCCCTTTTATTGAAATCGTGTTGTGAATTCACATTCTCTAAATCCCAGAGTTTGATAAAAGATCAATGATGGGATCGTCTGCATGAAAGAAAACACTTACAACACATAGAACACACAGACCCCACACAGCTGGGATGTCAAATGGTCTCTTGGGTGCATTAAAAACAACTAAGAAAGCAGCGAACACACAAATACATAAGTGTGTTAAGAGGGACAAGGAGTGTGTGACTAGAGAAGATGCTGGACACACACAGATAAACTTTACACGTACATGAAAGGTAGGACAAACCAGACGGTTGCTTTGCTGGACTCATGCATAATATTTGCACAACAACGAGAGCTTGCCATTTTTACGATTCACCCCGAATCCAGTAACTCAAAGCTCGTCCGAACAGACCCAGCCGAGGAAAAGCAAATCTCAGACAGATGGGTCAAACAGAAGCGGAGCCAATCAGATGCACAACATCTCCATGATCACGTTATGAGCATTAGAACGGATTTATCTGATACTTCATTTGATATTGAAATTTGATTTGAATGCAAAATAACTGAATAAATCAAACATCCAAAATAAAATGTCAAAATCAGAATCCAGCTTTCTCAAATTACAAAAAAAAGGTACAGTGTGCAAACTTTAGAGAACAAAAAGATGTTGTCTGTACCATTTGTGTGTATCTGTAATAAATCTCAAACATGGAGGTTGGAGGGGCCACTGTATCTCATATGTCACATGACCCTGATCTCATAGAGCCCGGGTCACTTTTAAATAAATAAATACATACATAAATAATTACCACTAAAATAACAGAATGTCCACAACAAACTCCCCGTGTACATATAAAGTGAGTAAAAATTAAAATCTGCATGTGTCTTTTTTTAATGACGGCTACATTGAACATGAAGAAAATGAGCTGTAAACATGCTTGAAAAAGCTGGAGACTGAGCACAAGACACTGTTGGGTGCGTCACAATATGCACGTTCATGTATGAATGTGTGGTTGTGTGTTTGAGTGTTCAGGCCCAGCCTGGACTCGTTGGTCTCACTAGATCGTGATTTTAATAGGAGCGAAAAAGGCCTTAATTTGGCCCTAAAAGAGGAAATGAAGACAGAATCAACATGAACTGGATCTGTTCTTCATTCAGCTCTGTTCACTGGATTGAAGCCCTGTGCTATGTGACATCACTGGTCCCACAAACCAACCACAGACAATGACTGACGTAGAGTCACACACACTCACATGTACAAGATTTATATTTCCAACGAGGAAGGAAAGGAGAGAGTGAGAGCATTAAAGGGACAGTGAAAGAGGGTCATGTTAGTGTAAAGAAACACGTTGAATGTGTTTGCCGGAATCGGACATTTCACATGTACCCGGCCTAAACTCCTGGTCACGGTGATGCAGCGCCACATTTACATGAGCCGTATGTATGTTCAGAGACAAGAGAACATCAAATCAAGTCTCATTCATACTTGCGAATGTTTATCAGTCAGAACTTCCCCAGAAGAATAAAAAAAAAAAAATTAAAGGGAATAACGAAAATGATCCTGAATGGATAAAAAAGGCACATAACCAAAGTTCAGAGAACCAGGATGTAGTGAAGATGGCGTCAGGATCAGCGCTCACAATAAAATCTCAAAACGATGGTGAGATGGAATAAGAAAAAGAAAGATGGTGGCATAAGAACTCAAACTCGTCCCATTACAGCTGTCCTTCCGAATGTGGCCACGCCCAGATTCGCCTTTCCCTTCATGAGTTCCTCCAGCGTGGGCATGACCGTCACAGGAAGTTGCAGTATCTCCCCCACACGCGGGGTCTCCTGCTGCTCAGCGTTTTTGGACTTGCGTCGCTTCAGAGACCTCTTCTCCATCTTGCTCTTGGCTGGAGGGAAGGTCGGTGGGGGCTCGCCATTGCACAGGTTTGGGTCGTGTCCGTTCATGGAGGGGGCGCTGCTGAAGGACTCCTCAGACAGTGTAGAAGCGGAGCTCTCGGAGCTGCCCTCTGACGCACATGAGCTGGTGGACACGAAGCCGTTGCACGTTGACGGCAGGAATTGAAAAGATGATGATTCACCGTTGCATCTGGGCTGACCATTAACACCCGTCGCTGAGGGGATGGAGGCCCGGAGCGTCTCCACTCTGTCCCCTCCTTTCGTCTTGCAGCGTTTCTTCTGAAAGACACAGACAGGGAGAGATGATTTAATGTCTAAATGATGCATTCAGAGAGGTATTTTAACAGCTAAAGCCAGTGTAACCGTCTTTGTGCTGAGTGAGTGTAAAAGAATATATAGACGCTAACACTTCATCAGACACTAAGAAAAGAAAAATAGAAATCAAGAAATGATAGTACAACAACACAATCACTATGATCACGTGATGGTACACATGAGGGCAGAGAACACAAGGAATCATTTGTGGAGAAATTGAGGCCTGTTCACACCAACACAAATGTTCGGAGCAATAAGCATCTTCATTTGAATGAACATCTGTTAATGCGTCTGTTCAGACTGACATGAAAATTTGCATGCAGTCATTGCAATGCAATTTCTTTTTATTGCAAGGTGCTCTAATCTCTTTTCCATCACACTGCGACAAACACCGATTCACTGTATTGGTCACATGCCCAGAGATTATTTGGCCAAGCAACAGTGAACAGCGTTGTTATTGTGATTGTTAACTAAAACTAAAAACAAAATAAAAATGAATAAATAAATAAATAAAAAAGCACACTTTTGTTACATAGGCTACATTTTCTATGAGCATTACTTAAAAGGGGTCATATGATGCGATTTCAAGTTTTCCTTTCTCTTTGAAGTGTTACAAGCGCTTGGTGCATAAAGAAGATCTGTAAAGTTGCAAAGACTAAAGTCTCAAATCCAAAGAGATATTCTTTATAAAAGTTAAGAGTCAACCACGCCTACCTAAAACGCCTCGTTTAAACACCCCCCACATATCTACGTCACTATGTGGAAATATTAGCATAATGGCACCCAAATATGCACGCAAAGAAAGAAAGCGTGGTTTCAGGAACAGCAGTCATGTTGATGCAGCATGTCAGGGAGACGCTGTGTTTCAGTGCGAAAGCAAAAGCACTTTACTTGGCCTTCCGGAAGTAGATGCAATTAGGAATCATTGGTTAAGATTTATTTACAATAGAACAGCACAACCCAGATGTTCGAATTTGTGCAACGCATTTTATGAACCACAGGTTTTTGAACCTAGAAGAGTACAAGGCTGGCTATGCATTGAAAACGACGTGTTTGAGAGAGGCGGGGCATAGAGCACCTACAATAATGTACAGTATTTGAAAAATAATGTGTTTTTTGAACATT